ATCTCTCTCTCTCTCTCTCTCTCTCTCTCTCTCTCTCTCTCTCTCTCATTATCTAATATCACATTAACTTTTTCTTCCCTTCTTTTCTTTTCCATGCTCCTAGGTATAGGCTCCCATATATACTTCCCATATGTATTTCTTCTCTTCCACAGAATCTGCATATCTTTTTATCTTCCTCCTCTCACTATTTCTTCTCTATTTCAACTTCATTCCCCCTTCTAAATTTAATCACTTTTCTCCATCTATGCTCTGTCCATTCTTCCTTTAAATATCGTGGAATTTCTTCATTTTTAATCATCCCATGCCATCTATTATGTTTCTCTAATCTTTTTTCATCTTTCTTTCTTTTGTATCTCTCTGTCTTTCTCTACTAATATCTCTTCCTCTTTCTCTGCTCTCTCTTTCTATTTTTCTTTCTTTCCAAAATTCTTCTTTCTCTCTTTCCCATTTAGACAGATTCTTTTCTATCGTTATTCTTTCTTTCTCTTCCTCCCAGCTTTTTTTTACTAATTTTTTTACTAATTTTTCTCCTCTACCTTTCTCTATCATTTTTTCAAATTTTCATGCCCTTAATCTTACCCTTCCTTTCAGTTTATCCCTTTCCCCTTCTTCCCTTATCATATATCCTTTTCTAATACCATCATCCACTTTATGTATCTATCGTTAGTCTTTTCTATTTCCTGTCTCTTCTTCCATCCCCATCCAGTAACCCATTACTGGTCATACTAGCGTATCAAATAGTTCTACTTCTTTCAATTTTTTCCAAATTTCCTTTTACGTATTCCCCATATGTAACCTAGCAAGGCGGTTCCCTTCTTCGTTCTCTCTTTTGTATGAGCCTTCTACCCTCCATTTATTTTCATGGTATATTCTAAATATTTGATTTCTTTTACCTCTTTTATTTTTTTTCTTTTCTATATCCATTTTATCTTTTTCTTCTTTCCCCTCCTTTTTCTAAATCTTAATATCTTCATTTTCTCTATGTTTAATTCTAATCTTTTTTTCTCGAGCTTATCTTTTTAGTCTTCCAAGCATACTCCTCATATTATCTTCTATTTCTGCTAACAATATTATATCATCTGCATATAATAAATTAGCATATATATTCTTCTTTCTTCTAATTTTATTTCTCCCCATTTTTACTCCCGACTGTTGCCAACCGAAGATTGGCGAAAACAGAGGAAGTATGCGTTTCACTGAGGCAGATCGATGCTGACCGATAATATCCATAACTACAATATATATTCTTATCAACTTTTGGCTACAGACTTTATTGATCAAGCTTGGTTTATAGCTTGGTAATTATCATTAATTGTATTGTTATTATATTAAATAAAATACTTTTATTTCGTCAACATAAGTTTTTGATTGGTTAGAAATGAGTTCTCGTTGTATACACGTTCTTTTATTAGACGTCGATTGAATCTAGGAACTAAATCGAAAAACAAATAATGATTATCAGTAGGGAATGATGATGTATTGTCAGTAGAGAATCTCAGTATGGTCTTCTGATTGGTTTGTGACTTCTGAAAACCGTACTTAAAACAATCTTGAATATAACATCTGACTATGAATAAGACTCGGCCATAGGCCGAGACGATTAAGTAATGTCTTAAGACGCTAATGCAGCCTTCTGATTGGTTCGTGACTTCTTCTTAAGACTATACTTAAGACGGTCTTGAATATAAGATCTGACTATGAATACTGGCCTTACACTTAACCAATGCTGAACGCCATCATTGTTGGCGGTAGTTGAGTTTGTTTATAGAAGTTTATAGAGGTTAAATCTCTATGAAATTAAAAAAAATAAAAATTATGTAAAATTACATTGCTTACAGTTTATTGCAGTATTATATTTCTTAATATAAATTTGACAGTGTAAGACAATATAAAATGTATATATAAAGTCTATATACAATGTTAAAATAAAAAACAAAGCGATCACCAAAATTTTATGAAAAAGATTAGAAAAAATTGGTCACATGGCCTGGCTTCTAATTGGACGCTATCTATTCACATGATCTCTTTGCTACTTGCTTCCTGAGAGCAAAGATGCCAGGGACGGTTTACGACATCGCGATTAACTCCATCAGTCTGTGTGACACATAGACGACTCGTGCTTAAGTGTGTGGCTACTTGTGCTAATTCGCCGCCGACTTCATAGATTTATAAAAGATTGCACATTATGTTATCCCTTCTATTATGGAATTACTGCAGTGTCAAAACGCAATTCTCTCACTTCTTCATGCGCCAAGCCTTCAGCGACTATGAACAATGGGCACTATCGCGGCAGATGAATACGCCCATATTTGGGGATTTTTAATAAAGTGAAAATTACAAAACGATACAAATTTTTAAATCAGTTAAGTCCACTTTACCCGTTCACGAGAGGTGAAATGATTATATTGGTACACTTTGACTGAATTATTTATACCCATCACAAGATATTTTGAGCTTTTAAAAGGTTTAAATAATTATTAAAAAAAAAAAGACTCCCGACTGCTGCCAAATCATAGTCTAGCAAAAAAAGAAAAAATTTTTAAATATTAT